AAATGATTTATTTTAATCTGCAAGGATAACTGGAAGCCAAGTCAGCCAGGGGTCCCACACACCATTCAAGATAAGAAGACATTTGATTTGGCAGGAGCTACTCTTGGTGGGAGCCCAACGCGGTTCCTGCTGCCTTCATTACTCAGGGACTTGCGGTCCTGCCTCATGCCAGCATGGGGTGGGGTGGTGGGAGGCATCATCAGACAGCGAGACACTGAGTAGTGAGGGAGCTTTTACTCTTCCGCACTTGTCTGTGCACATGGACGAAACACGTGCAATCTTAGTGGAATCTAAGAATGGGAGAAGGTGGGGGGATGGTGGGGAGTTGGAGGTGTGGGCTTCTCTCTCGTGTCTACCCCAGCAGCTCTGGGAAGGCCCGAGACCCAAACCAAAACACCACACTAGAGCCCCGAAAACAAACCACAAAGCACCACGGGACGGGAGGCTGAGAAGCAGGACCCAGGAAATACAATAATTAAATAATACAATGAAGACTTAAATTTCCAAGTTGATTCTTGGGTATCATTTATAAAAGTTAACAGGGCATATTTAATTTAGGAATTGGCTCACGTCCTTCTCCTTACAGCTGAAACCTCGTAAATGAAATACACTGGACCAGTGCCCAGTGCGGAAATAAAAGTTATGAATAATGTTTCTATCTCAATCATTGTCAGTGCTTTAATATTCCTAATTACTTTAAAAAGCTAGATATTCAATATAGGAAAACTTTTTTTCTTTTTATCTCCACTTGTGAGATTAGTGCAATTTAATAACAGTCACTCTGTCGTCTTTATTCAGCGTAAACTGACATTTCATCCTTCTACTCCTCATTATTATATGGGATGGAGGTTTATGACCAAGCAAGCAGCCACTCTGCTTCCCCATATTGGTCCCTCCAACACCTTGGAATTATCCACAGTAGCTTACGTGCCTGCTTGCCAGGCAAATCAGCATCACCTCACTTTCTTTATGGGGCAGAAAGAATTTAGTCCAGGCCTTAAAGAAATTAGGCTATGGGGTTTTAAGTCTGGAAAAGAATGAAAAGTCTCCCAACCCCACCCCAGGACGAGATCTGTCCCCTTCACAACTGTCAAAGTCATAAATCCCTCAGCAGCCATGAAGGGCAAGACAGGGCAGGCAATAGGATGAAGGATCTTTATTACCCTCCTTGCTGCTTCCAAGAATTTATCCTACAAAGAAATTAGGACACATGGGCAAAGATATATGCCTGAAAAGAATCACTGCAGCACTTTTTCTTTTTTAAACACAGGGCCATAGTCCCTTGCCCACAATCCAAAAATCCCTAAAAAGCCCAAAAGAAAAATTGTCTTAAAGCTCAGCACCAAATTCGTTTAGATGCCAGATCTTCTAGGAACGGATTTGTGGTTACATATTGCTTTGATGTCACTAGACGGAATTAGTCCTGTTCAGAAATATTACTTTGTCTCATACCAGGGGGCTGCCCAGTTCCCACTGGGGGTTATAAGTCATATACGAAGAGTCATCACACACGTTTCTAAACTCTGAAAAAAACTGAAATTCTGAAATCAACAAGCCCCAAGGACCCCGAACACAGGATGGTGGGGCCTCCAAAAGGAAAAACCCCTAAAACAACTTAAAAGCCATCAACAAGAGACTGGTCAAATGCCTCCAGTAATCCACAGAAGAAAACTCTATAAAGGTCTTTTAAAATTTAAAGGGAGATTCATGTTTATTGACAAAGAAATCAGTGCATGACATAAAGTTAAATTTAAAAAGCACGTTACAGAACAGCACGTAGACATGATCTAATTCATCAAAGATGCATCCAGACGTAGCTCTCAGAGCAAATATGCAGAGAAAGGACAGGGAGGGCAACCACCCAAATGCGTGTGTGTGTGCGTCTAAACTTTTTGTAGGATTCTGGTGCCCTTTGGAGTTTCTTTCTAACATGAACAGGTAAGATTTTTAGAATCAGGAAAAAAAGCCAACAAGAATGACGATTTCAGTTAAACAAAAATCCAAGCTTCCCTGCAAGGGGACCATATGTAGAGACATGTCCGTGGGCAGATCCCATTCAGAAATCTCCAGAGGTACGCAGTGCACTGAGCAGGATGCCCCCTCAACATGGGCATGGGCCCCCAAAGACCTGAAGGCACACTCAGGCAGACGGGCATCCAGCGACACCCTAACAAGCAGGCTCAAATTGTTTGGACTGCCCCTGGTCACAATTGGTGTCCCATGGCTGATGCATCTACTATCAGAACAGGATCTCAGGGCCATATCTTCCAAGCGGATCCTGCTTTCTCCTGTGAGCAACACAGCTTTCTCATCCAAGACCTAGTTTAACCTTAGGCTGTATTAACACAGGTTGAACATCTAGAGGAAGGACGTGATCATGAAGAGTTCAGGTTTGGGACTCCGGTGTTTGCTTGGTGGATAGTCCCAGGTTCACCATTTACTAGCTGTGTGTCTGTGCAAAGTTTGTTGGTCTTTGTGTGCCTCAGTGTTCTCATCTGTAAACAGGGCTAATAATAATTCCTATTCCATAGGGTCATTGTGGAGATTAAGTGAGGAGGGAACGGGAGTGCCTAGTGCATAGTAAAACTCAATGAACAGTACCTACTTTTATTATTATTTTTCCATACCAGCCTACAGTTTTGTGGTCAGACCTAGGAATGTTAATTTAAGAGGAATAAAGACCACAGCCAATAGAGAGGAACCAGACGGGGAAAGTAGATCAGACCACGTCAGGGGAGAAACACAGCAGCTTAGAGAATAAAAACTTGGGGAAGGAAGTAATCACTGTCTTCTAATACCCAAAGGGCTGAGCCATGGAAGGGGACTCTGGTTTCTGCGATGCAACCCCAGTGGTTATTATCAACTGCGCTTTGATCAACATCTTCTCATAGCCAGTCTGTGGCCTTGTCCACTGATCTTGGGAGAAATTCCAGACATGGCGAGGAGAGTCATGGCAATCCATCATCCTTCTCTAGAATCTACCATGAGTGAGAACCAGCTGGTAAAAGCTTGAGACAGATTTCCAGTTAACAGAAGGAGAAGCTTTCCAACAATCAGCATATACTTTCACAGGAGGCAGTGAGCTCCTTGTGAATGGAGGGACTCAAGCAGAAGTTGGAAGGCTCTTGGTGACATCTAAGCTTTCAGGGCTCTGAATGATCTTGAAAGTGAGAGTCTATGAATTCCTTTCATTCAACGCTGGCTCTGGCAGAGGATTGGAACCCATCTCTCGGGACTTCTTATGGGTTCAGGAGTCCATGCCTTTCAATCGACTTAGGGGTGCTGGCTTTTCAGCCCATGAAAATGGATTTCACCGGGGAAAGAGCTCACCACCAAGTCATCACACTTGGAATCAGGGGTGGGGGAATTAGGGAGTCCCATGTTGTCCTGGTAGCTAGCAAGGCCATTTCCCTGTCTGGTAAACTCACTCGAGGGGCAAGATTTACTCTCAACTGCTCTAAACACTCCAGCTCAATCGAGGGCCTCCTTCATTGCATTTCTTTCACCAGAAGGGAAACCCTGAAAGACATAGACCATGTCGGAAAGACCCTCCAGGGACCACCCCGGGCCTGGCCCAGTCCAGCATAGATGGAGCACTGCACACACCTGCACCAATTGGTGGCTAATACGCACTCAGGGTCCCCAAGACTCAAGCTGTCTTTCTAACCTCCAACAGGCCACCCTTGACATTATAATCCAGCATGCAGCAAGCAGCCCTGTCCCTGCAGGGCTCCCCTAATCCAAGTTAGTTCTCCATCAAGGACTCGTGGCGGGCGAAGTTACAGAACACAAAACACGGACAAGGAGGGGGAACAAGCTCGTGAACGTTCTAGCCCACGTTTCCTGGAGTCCACAGAAAGACGGGTGCAACACATTCCTTTACTTCCCATGTCCCTCAAGTGTATTTTTTGCTGTCTGGAGGGATTCCTAGCCCCGCAGCTCAGCGTAGCCCACCTCAAAGCAGTGAAACAGGTGGGAGGCGGAGGTCCCCTGAGGTCCCAGTGCACTGAAGAGTTTACTGAGTCCCCCAAACAGATCCCAGACTCCCCGAGCCAAGATAATCGCCCAGGCTCAAAACAAAATCACATCCAGTATCCTTGCTGGGGGGTATGTTCTCATGTGCTGGGTAGACAGGCGAGGGGGCTCCGGTCAAAGCCCTTGAGAAAAAGGACCATAACCAGATGTTTCCAACCCAGCGGAGACAGTGGAAAAGGGCAAGGGCGCCACACTGGGCCAACGTGGACCCACCATTCCCCTCCTCAATTTTCATGACCATTACAGTTACGTTGGGACAGGAAAGAGGGAGGTGGCTCCCAAAGATAGGTAAACACAGGGGGGTAGACCCCAATGGATCGGCTGAGATAGGTTATCTACTCAAGTCACAATAAAAAAGATGGTCTACCCCAGTCCAAAGCAGGAAGAAAACTGGGTTTCAGCATTAATCAAAGCCTGTTTGAAAATCCTAGGAGACCATAATGTTGACCAACCACTGACTGCGAAATGTACCAATGGAAAGAGGGTCATCTGGGAGCATTTAGGGGAAATGAGCCAGAAGAGCAAGAGTTGTCTTCAGCTGGGTTCTTGGCAGAGAATTCCCTGAGCAGCTGCTGGGTGCACCCCACCCTCTTAGAGGCCAGCCCCATGGCAGACACGACGCCCCCTGCTGCTGCAGGTGGCAGCAGTCTCTGGCCCTGTCCGTCAGTTCCAAGAGCATCTCAATTTCACTTCAGCCCTTAACAGACCGTATCTAGAAGCGTTTCACTGAGTCAGCGTTGTACAAATTCTCCACAGTTCCCAACAAATGCAACGCACGATGATCCTCCAGACCCCCACCGTCCACCCCAAGTATCACCACATAAATGCAGGGCTGCCTCTTCCCTGACGTCCACACTCCTCTGGGCTGCCCCAGGCCAACAAAAAGAATTCAGCATGCACATGGTACACCCTCCCCCCAGGCCACAGCTAAGGGACCTCCTGGGCCCCAAAGACCCCAGACTCACCGCTGGAACAGTCGGGCCCTCCCCAGCCGGGTTCACAGTGGCAGGTGTCCGGGGAAACACAGCGGCCATGCACACACTCCTCTGTACACAGGGCTGCAGGGGGCCAGGAGAAAGGGAAGAAGCACAGGAACAGACAGTGAAAACCAACCATCTGGTCAAAGAGCATAAACCACTTTGTAATGATCCCCTGGGGCCCCAAGGATGTTCAGAATGCATCACTGGCTTTGGGGAAAAATCAAGCTACTCCTGACTCGCATCATTTAATTAACTCTGAAATGGATCCATCGAAGAGTGTGGTTCACTCCAGCCTCATTTCCTAAAAGGAAACCCAAGCCCAAGAATGGGCAGTCTTAGCTTTTCAAGAACATTCTCTCCAAGATTTAACACTTGGAGACCCTCCGCAAACCCCGGCCCCAAACCCACACTCCTGCTCTCTTTCCCATGAGCTCAGGAAGTGTGTCATGTCCACCTTTTGCTTTTTCCCCAGTTTCTTTCTACAAAGGCCCCCAAATTTATCAGGTTGCCTGCAAAGAACAGGTTCCTCTCATGCTTCCCCCACCTTCCTACCCTCCTCCCCAAATGCCCCTATTTTGGGGCTCTCAAATGTCAGCAAATCTGCAAAGTACACAAACGCTGAGGAAAAAGCAACAGCTAATTATAAGAAAGTAATTAAGAGAGACATCTACGATGATGATAATTGTAATTAGAAAGTGCCTGGCAATTTCTTATCACGCAGTCAAATGCTGCAGCCTCCTCAGCTGGGAGGCAGCAAGAGCAAACTTTCCATCTACTTCCTCCAGCGCCGAGAAGGCTTACTGGTAGCAGATTGAGGAAGGGGGATTATTTCTCTCTTCCTTTGACATCTGCACGTTCTCAAGGTCATCCTTTGCTCCTGAGAGATCTGCCCCACCATCTAATCCATCAGTGAAGGATTACAGAAAACCCCCATTTTGCCACCCAGGCCAATTCTGTAAGCTCGGGAAATCAGCAGCTCCCATCGACCCTGTCAATTTCTTAGATGGGATCTGGATGAAGCGCTTTTTTTTCTGACAAGCAATGAGAGACCTTCTCTCCGCCTGGAACTGGCCTGGGCTACGGGAAACAGGCGGCCCCCAGTGCTGAGTCCTGAGGGGCAACCAGTGACCTCCAAATACCCACTCCACTGCCATGTCCACTGCCTGGCCTGAATGCCCACTGAGAGACCACGGTCAGGTTAGACAACAAAGTCCATTTAATGGTTGGTGTGATGCTGATGCTGAAGCCGTTGCCTTAGCTTTGCCCAAGCCCCCGTGCAAAGGCATCCAGGAGAGCCGTTCCAGATGTCCCACTGGTAAGTGGTCAGGAGTCAGCCTGGCCTCTACTGTGATCTACTGGGGGAGGGCCCTGGCACCCGTGTCCCCAGGGGGCTCTCAGGGAAGGTTCTGGTCTGTGAAGTTTTCCACTGCCCTGGAAGTCCGGGGAATGGCAGGGGCCTACTAGCTAACCTAGTTCTTGCTGGGGAACTGGGTTGGCCTCTGGCTCCAGTGACCAGCTCCACTTAGAGCCACAGTGAGCTGCTGGCGAGACCTTGTCTGACCACTCCTGCTTCCCAGGCTCTCCCTGCTCCACTGGACGTTCCAAACAAACTCAAATGGGTCAGTGTGCCCAGGACTCACTGGACACCAGATGTCCATCCCCAGGCTCCCTATCAGAGGCCAGCACCTCAGCCTGGCCAGCTCCAAGCCTCGGCCTCAGCTGCTTCTCTCCCCCATCTGCATCCCCACAGGCTGAGTTGCCCGCATGGTCCCCAGCTAGGTCCCTCCTATCAGCTTGTCAGAGCTGCTCAAGACACCCCTGCTGTTTTCTGATGGCACAGAGAGACACCTTGATCCCTGGGGGCTCTGCTGGAGAACGGTGAGGTAGACAGTGAACAATGAACCTGCTAGCTATCGGGGCTGGAAGAGACCTCAGAGAAAACCATGTCCAACCCCTTCATTTTATGCACAGAGAAACAGAGGTCCAAGTGTTTGTGATGTCATGGACAGCGTGTGGTCTCTTGGCCAGGAGGGAGGGAGCTTGGGGATAAGCCTCCTGAAGGAAAAGGGAGGGGAGAGATGTCCAAGACCACGGATCTTCTCCTCTCACCCAACTGGATGCCTTCCCCTGCACCGACAAGTCAGGGGCTGGGAGAGCCAGCCCAGGGGGACAGCACAGAGACTGTTGGTGACCCCCAGGAGGGTAAGAGCAGAAGGCAGAAAGCAGAGAAGCTGTTCCAACACACTGGATGTCCTGCAGGGGGCTCAGAGCAGCTCAAGGGGGTAGGGAGGATGGATGAAGGACCCTGCCAACCCTTGCCTCTCCCTGGTCCTTCTCACCCGGGACCTGCCCATAGGCCTATCTCCTGCACCCTTTCCCTGGCTGGAGGGGCAGGGCCTTCAGGTGCTCTGGAGAAACTCCACACCATCTTTTCCCTTGGTCTCTGCCCCAAACCATGGTCCTCTAGGACAATCTATCAAGAAGCTCCCTGCAGCTCAGCCCTGTATCCAGCATGCTGACTCCCAGTGACCGATGTGCAGAGACAAGCTGTCCCACAAACCCTGGGCCTAGCTCTGGGGATGATGTTGCTCTCCCCACGGTCCCTTCAGACCTCGTTATCTGCTCCCCATCGCCCTGGGATCATGCCTGGGCTATTTGCTTGTCAAAACCTCAATCCATTCATATTTTATAGGTGTTGTTTAGACAGTATTATTTGAAGCATGAAATATTGATAGCAAATATCCAAGGCTTAGATGGCCAGATTTGGCAACTGGGCCACCACGTGCTTATGCTCCTGGTGGGGAGGAGACAGGACACAGGTGCTATGAGGAAAGTCTCCTGAGGAGGCATGGAGGAGAGACCCACACCCCTCCCTGGGGCTGGGGTTCCTGATTCCTAGGCCAGACCCTGCATTAGCCCAACAGTGGGTAGTCCCTCTGCAGAGGGCTGGGGGGGACAGAGCAGCCCTCCTAAACTATACAGGCCTCCTAAGTTCTTTCTGACCCCAGCCCCACAAAAGCGGCTGAGTTAGGGTTCTGCCACCCCAGCCCCTCTCTTCCCTGACTCCTGTAACTCTCAACAGGGGCATTTTGTTGAGTCCCTCTTCCCACTACTATCCCCCCATTTGCTGTTGGGGACAGGGAATCAGAAGCTGCCTCTGACACCACACCACGTGACTGAGGGCCAGCCACCTCCCCTCTCCCAGCCCCACTGAGAAAGTCAAACCTCTGCTCTCTCAGCTTCCCACCACTGACCTGCCTGCCTCAGTCCCACTTCCAACATCCAGGAGCTGGAGGTGTCTTTCATGAGAAGCAGCACAGCAAAGGCTATACCAGAAAGCTGGGTCTGGACCAAGGGATGCCACTTAGTAGCTCTAGACCTCGGGCAAGTTCACGCCATCTCCGTGTCAGTCCCCATCTGTTCAGTGGGGGACAGTGATAGGATGGGCCTCAGGCTGTACGTGAGGATTATAGCAGTTGACAAAGCACCCAGAGCAGTGCCTGGGGTCTAGTAAGTACTGTGTGGGTCTTGCTATTGTTATTCAGTAGGGAGTCCTCGGACTCGAGGTGGGGGCCTCCACACACAAGCCATCTCCCTCTCTCCCTTCACTGAGGCCCCAGACTCATGAAGAGGGCTGTAGGGATCTGCAGGTAAACCCTGCTCAGGAATGAAATGCTGGAAGGTGGCCCTGTCTCTAGACCAGCGGGGGAGGCCACAGTGGTCAATGATATAATGACCTGAGTTTAACAATTATAGGACAATAAGCAAGTTGTCTAGGCTCTCATGCCTCAGTTTCTTCATCCGTATAATGGGGACAGGCTGTTGCAAAGATTTAATGAAATACACGTAAAGTGCTAAGGCCAGTGCCGGGCATACAGTACGTACTCAGTAAGAATGAGCTGCCGCAATTATTTGCACACACACGCGCACACACACACCCAAACGTATGTGTGCCCCATGTGGCCTGGACTTGATGTCTACAACAGCTGACAGCTGCTACCATGTATCACTGCTTCCTGTATGTTACCAATTTCTGAGCACCTACTATGTGCCCAGCCTCAGAACTTTCAACACATGCTGCCTCCACCTCTGTTACAGGCCATCCCGGTACACCGTGAGGGAGCTAGCAAGTCAGCACGTGTCTTTCCTTTATGAATCTCTGGCCTTTGGGAGGACAGAGGCCACTTCCTACTCAGCCTTTTAAATTCTCACGCTTTTAAATTCTCACACTGCCTGAAACCGATGTCTCCGTGCTGGTGGGTCCCCAGGAGAGAGTCATCTGCCCCAGGAGAGAACCCCCAAGCACATGCAGGGAGGGCATGGCTGTCTCCCCCGAGCTCAGCCTCAGAGCTCAGGCACAGAGAAGTCACCGAATCTCAGGGCCCTGCCCATTGGCTCAGGCTGTTTCTGGCCGTGGGGGACTGGGGTGGCTGGGTGTCTTGAGCAATGGTGAGGTAGGGTTTCAGAACAAGCCCAGCTACAGGTGGGAGGAGATCTGGGTTGGCAACTACCCACATCCATCTCAATGGTATCAAGCATCCCACTTTCCTCTCTGGGCCCTGCAACTTCACCTGTAAATTGAGACCAGACCAGATGAGGTCTATAAAGACCCATTCAGCTAAGACTCATCATGACCTCTCACCCGGCCCAGCCCAACCTCCCCCCGCCCCCCGCCCCCCCGGGGAAATGCCTGCACCACTGCCATTGCCCTAGCCTCACTTTCAGGCCCGAAAGCCCCAATCTTCTCTACGGCCTAGTAAACCTGTACTCTTGACATCACAAGGACCCTGGATTAGGAGACAGGAGAGGTGAGTGAGCTTGGGCTCCGTATGACCTGCCATAGGACTCTAGGCAGGTGACTTCCTCGCTCTGGTCTAGAAAACAAGGGCACTCTAACACATCACCCTTAAAGCTCCTACTGCGAACATCACTTCATAATTCTAGGGCCACTCTGACTCCATCATGTCACCTTGCAGCAGCTGGAAGCTCAAAATGCTTCCATTAGGCTCCCTGGCCCTGGGTTGCCTGAGTCACCAAGGCCAGGTGTAGCCCCCATGACCCAGCTCCACGAAGAGCCT